CAATAAAATAAAAATTAAATTCTTTTAATTAATTAAATCACAATTTCTTAAATTATATATATATAAATTACTGTCTATGTATCTTATTTCTTAAATTAAATTATTTTTAACAAATTAAGGAATAGAATTTGTAAATCAATAATAAATTATCCTTTGCTTTTTTAATAAGAAAATAATATTGGGACAAACTTTTTGTACTACTTTTTTTATATAACTAATTATATATGTTATTAAATAAATAAATACATTTAATATCACGAGTATCAAATGAATAAAAAGAACTAATCATTTAAATGATATGTAAAGTTATATAAAAATATAATATAAAAAAATTATCCTTAAATTATTTTTCTTTTTAATATTCACGATTAAAATTTAGCGGATCAACTTTCTCGCACAAGTAGGGAGATTATTCTTGGTTGTACCAAAAAAAAGAGACAATGAGAGTAATTATTCTTGGTTGCTTATCATTTTCCATTTTCCTTTGGCGGTTAGACTTTTTCGCACACCTAGAGAAATTATTCTTGATTGCCTATCATGATCCATTTTCTTTGTTTCAAACCATTGAATTTGGCTCAAAAGTTCATTGCCTATTTTCAAAAAATGGAATTTGGCTCAAAGGGATGCTACTGTGGGACCCTTCAGGGGAATATCGTTTGTTTTTCTTTATGGTGAGAGAGGGACGTAGGGGGAGTAGAAAGAAGACACGGTAAATGTAAATGGGACATCATAGAAAATAAAAAAAGTAGTATATGTGTCCACGAATGACTGAGTGTATCATGAATCCGACCTACCATTTTTAATCTTCCTTTATTTAAATCAGGGAAGGTTCCTCCTTCTCGCTGCCTTTCTCTAGTGGAATATTGGAAAAAAAAAAAAAACACACTAGCAATCGAAATTTTAGCGTGCCCTCATTTTATCAACGTAATTTCAAAGTCCAGTCAATCATTACTTTTTAAAATAGAAAGTCATAAAAATATCCAGTAATTTGTTTTTGTTAATTTATAGTGGAATCATTCAAAGTCAAGCTCGCGTTGGACATCTCCTTCCTTTCGTGATATATATGTAATTGGCAAAAGAAGCAGCAATATTATTTTACCTAATCCTTTCACATATACACTTTGTGTGATGCTTGCATGCACCTTTGCAACCACACCCGGACCTGTTGGATGTTTAGTTTGAAATAGTACTAAAATTATTGTAAATAAATATTTAAGATAGTTTAAAATGTTGGTATTTTAGGCATAATATTAACAGATGAACTATGTTTTAAATATGGCAATGAATTCAATTTTGAATTCAAAAGTTTTTCAAGGGATATGATTGTTAATAAAAAAAGATATAACAAAACTATTCATTATAAAAGATTATATATATTTGTTGAAAGGTCATAACTTTTGATTAAATGATATAATTGAGTCACTATAAATATATATGAAGTACAAGCTTAGACTAAACCTGATATGTGAAATTTCATTTTTTACAATTTCTTAAAAAGAGAGTTTAATTCTAAATTTTGGTGTATCTTGGAGGCATTTTAATATCCTAAA